CATCGGAGATTGGGAGAGATGACGACGACGAGGGTGGGGGATCCCAAGGGTGGTGGAGAAACCGTAGGCAAGGGCAGGAAATTTGTTCAGCGATTTTCGAATTGATGGTGACAGGAGGCGCGATTTTGGAAATGATGTTGACAGGAGGCAAGGGCGGGAGCTGGCGTGTGCGAGGGAGACCTGGAGGGGAAATCGAAGAGTTGAACGGGTTGTGGTGGCGGATTTGATGTCGGCGGTGGGAGTGGACGGTGGTGGCGGATTGATGTCGACGGTGGGAGTGGACTGTGGTGGCAGGTTCGATGTCGGCGGTGGGAGTGGGCGGAGGGGAGAAGGTGGGAGGAAGGGGAAGGGTGCTGTCGGTGGGAGTGGTCGGAGGGGAAAAGGTGGGGCGGAGGGGAGGTGGGAGGAAAAGGAAGGATTATGAAGTTGATTTTTATTTCTTATAATTAAGTATTTTTAAGTAAATATGACGTGTAACCTACGTGTCACTTTATGTTGATTTTTTGATAACGTGTGCGATGATTTGGCGTCCTAGTCAACATATTGCTAACATAACTGACGGCGTCACTAACGCCGTTAAAAGTTTATAACATAAATGGCTATATTTGTCACACTACCATCCAATTTTTGGACTATTTTGTGTTTTCGGATAGTTATGGATATATTTGTCACAAACGTGAAAGTTATGGCTATACAAGTGTATTTTGCCTTTTATCTTTCCTCTGCAAATTTTAGTCATAGTCTGGAGCTTTCACTAAACCTCCATAGGAGTAGGGTTAATTTAGTGTAGATCTGTCTCGTGAGTCGTGTAAACATCGAACACCCTCGTTTGAATTTTACTAGAATCAATACCCGTGGCTACGCCACAGGGACATTTAAGCACAATTGACATCTTTAAAAGTAGTATATTCATAAAGAAAATAATTAGAGATTATAGAGCAAGTATAAATTTTTTGTTCGATAGATTTCTTGTTATCCAAGACAACTACAATCATTTCATAATGTTATTTACAAAACATAAGTTGAAAAAGTTACCTTAAAGTCCATCTAAACTATTCATTAGCTTTGTAAGTTCTATATCAAACCTACCCCAAAGACATGCTTATTTACGGATGAGAATCATTATTTCATACATAAAATCAATCCATACCCCTTATCTTTTGACAAATTCGAGCAATCATTTTAGAAAAAAGATGTCATCAATCCATCATCAATCCATACCCAACAAAACTGAAGTAATTTTATAAATATGTAGGATAAACTCACTACAGTTCTCTTCATCCTAAAAAAATTACAATAGTGGAAGTAAACGAATAAGAGGTGAACTCCCAATCTGTCATTATGGTATTAAACGAAATCTTAGTCATCTATATAAATCAATGCTTTATGAATAGAACCAACGTTATTGTGCTCTTCCCTTCCAGAGTCCACAAAATAACAAACCCTTTTAGAAGATGATAACAAATACTGAAAGTCTAACCCACAAATTATCTTAATTTAAACACTCCTGATTTAGTTAGACGTTAGTCCAACAGCAGGAAGAATAATATACTCCTCCCTCTCACTTGTACTCATTAGTCGGCAAGAGCAAGCCCAGCAGCAACTATAGTGACAACATTAGGATCTATATGTTTCTCAAACACTGCCTCCTAACTCCTCTCTGCAATGGTACACAATTAAAATGAGATTAAAAACGAACAACATTACACAATTAATATCCAGCAGGAAATTCAAAGGGACAAAGAAACTATACCAGAGTTAAGGACACATGGTGCAGACTGCAGACTGTCCACCATTGTCAAAGATTTCCCTCACATTAGCTTCACTCCAAACCACATCGTCAAGAGCTCATTTAGTTTGCTTGGCTACCGAGTTCATTTACGAAGATACATTTGATAATGATGAACACTTCCTCACAATGATTTCATTCTAGGAATACCCCTCAGTTTTCATTAGCTCATTCACATTCTTGGTCCAAGCTAGACTGCATACCTGCCCTGTAACCCATACCCTCATTAGCACCACACAACAATGTACACTGTAAGGAACATACAAAGCATTGGCGAAATGATGTTCCCACTCAATCATGGAGAACGATGTACTTACCTCGCTAGTCGCTGCAAACAAAATCAAAGCAAGATCTAACTTTAAAACTGCACCAAATCCAAACTCCCTACGTCAGTCTTCTTCCCAACTCTCATGAACTCCGGCACGAACCGTTTTAGAATGGTCAGTCTGCTTACCTCTTGTAGTCTATCCTTCCTAAAGGCATTAGGATTGAATGATGAATGAATCTTCTCGTTTAATGAAAAACAGCAGGCATGTCAAAGAGTTTCTCAAATTAGATAAATAAAGCTAACTAAACAGCAAGTAACATTTGGGATCTCGCCAAAAGTCCAAGCAAGACCAACTATATATGTTCAGCGAGCAGTTTAAAGCAATCATAGCCCTAGATTTGTGCATATAATCAGCAAGACGAAAAGGATCAAAAAGTAATAACCTGCAAGGCCAAACTACAGATGGTTTCCATGGCCAAATTCCATTCAGTTCTCTTTGTTTCCCAACATTACCCCTGACTGCCGATGTCGTCTCTACGCCTTCAAATGGCCGCAACTTCCTGCTTTATATGTTGAGAGAGTGAATCCACAATTAAAAATGGATATACTCTGCATGTCAAATGGATTTGGCAAAGAAGGAAGCAGAGTGAATAAAACTGGTAAAATTGGAGAAAAAGCCCCTCAAGGAAAGGAAGGAAAAAACTCAAAGCAAGTGTGACCAAACCAAAATGGAAACTATCAAATATGAAATACTTGCTCGTGTCGATCATGTATGCCTCTTTATCTCTCGCTGGAGTTGTTTTGGAGCTTCAATTAAATGAGATTCACGCATACCGCTTTTCTGTGATTAGAGAAGTTGCTTAGAACAGCTGCATTATAAATCAAACTGGTCAAATTAGAGAAAAGACCCCAAAAGCTAACATTAAGGGAAGGATCAAAACTCAAAGCAAGTGCGACCAAACCAAAAGGGAAACTATCAAACATGAATTACCTGCTCATGCCGATCACGTATCCCTCTTTAACTCTCGCTTGAGTTGCTATGGAGCTGCAATTAGAAAGTAGACTGCTGCCAACGACTTATCTGTTATAAACCAAACATATTTAACACAAATAGTTAGTAGCATGAAACAGTCAACAACCATTTCCAGTAAGTGAAGTAAAATAGCTGACCTTGAACGATTTCAAGAGAGCTATTAAAAGCATCTTCTGTCTTAATCGGTACAATGTTGAATGACTTGAGCGTGAAACTGACATAACAACACTAAGCAAAAAGAAGATACAAAATTGGGAAAAAGGAAAAACCCTACTAAACCTTGAATTTCATATGAGCACCAAAGTAAAAAAATAGGCCAACGAAGTGCACCTGCCGCTGATTGTGGACACATATTGTTCTCCTTTTGTTCGATTGTGGTTCATCCACCCACGCTGCGGCCATTCCTCCTAACTTTCAAATGTTTTAATAAAAAATCAAATTAAAACAACACATCAACAATAATCGAGCTGAATATTAACACAACAATCACATACTAACCAACTTCATCAAATTGAAATTCAAGAACTTCTAATTTTCTTTCATAAATCATGAAAGGTTAATGCACCAAGCAAGTTTTATTTTTCTCTTCTTGCCAGCCTCGAAGCTAATGACACTTTGTTTCCCATTACAAAATTCATTTTATAACTGGAAAACCCATATAAAAGAGTTTGAAAGAAATGAAAAGCATAAGTAGATAACTGAATAGGTAAGAGACCTATGGTGCATAGTTTGTTGCCCAAGAGAGTGAACACGTGATGCTAGAATTTGTTTTTCATACATGGGTAGCATTGTTAGTCTGGTTGTCGGTTCTCACAGCCAACTATTGCAACGACAGATCCCATGGCAGTTGAGCAGCTCAAATGCAGCTGCTCTAGTGTTGCCCTACTTCCTGAGTCAACACAACATTACCAAATTTGTTAGATTATGAACAATCCATTCAAGAATAGGAGTAGCCAAAATAAAAGCGGGAACAAAAACAATGATAATCTGGGCCGATTGGCTTTTGTTGAGAAAACATACATGGTGAAGAATGTGCAGGGAGAACTCTGTAGAGCAGATTCACAGCAGTAAGAAGTTTGTGTTTCCCTATTTTTGAAAAATTAGTACATAAGCATATAGCACAACCTTGTTTAGAAAATTGATCAAACAATGAACTGGCTTCAGATTAGGCAAGCACACAATAAACGAAAATGTTGGAAAGAAAATTACAGCAGAACCCAAAAGCTCATATTTTAACTATTTGCAGCAACCAGCTTCATTAAACTCCAAAGCACTTCCAAGTATTTACTAATTTACAGTTTTGATTGAGAACTTGCTCACGAATCTAAGAACCAACTAACAAAAAAAAAAAATAGCAACGTGAACCAATTACCCCTATCCAAAGAGTTTAAACAATTACCAAGACTAAATCATAGGTCCAAGGTTGCAGCAAAGTGGAAGAGGCATAGGAAGGAACGTTGAGAAAGAATTCATATCATTAACATCATTTGGAGAGAATGTAGAAAACCGGAAGCGTAAACTTGCATCAGCAACCGCAAGCACCCAGATTACAGTAGCTACAAAATGGTCTCATATGGAAAGCTTTGTATTTTCCATTGAACTTAACAGTTACAAAACTTAAACAAATAAAAAGCTAGGAAATAATCACATCATTCAAAGGAGAGCTGCTTACAACATGATGTCTCAAATTTTGTCGGTTCAGCTTGGGTTTTTCAAATCACCCCCATAAGTATAATCAGCTTAAATACCTATGGTGAACGTAGCCCGTTCAGCATTAGCAACGCACTATCAGCAGTTGATCCCAACTCTTCGTTGCCTACTGATCAGATTCTGCAAAAAACTTGTCTCCATCATAGCAAGCTATTGCCTTCCAGAACTTTTCTTCAAAGAGCTGCACAAAGAGATGGGTGTTATCCTGTAGGCAGAAACGCGTACATGGGAGGAAACGTGGGAGCAGGCAAGGGAGAAGAAGCAAACAACCAAGAAAATGGAGGACTAAAACGTGGCGCAGCCGTCGTCGTTCCTTGTTCATCACCGCCGTCATCCCCAACCTCGTTTTCCTCTCTGTTTTCAAACTCGCCGTCGTCCGAGTGTTCATCGGCCACCAACACATGACCTTGACCCAAGGCGACAACATCGCGTTCATCAGCCAAAGCTGACCTAAACAGGGGATCTATGGATATGAGAGAGCGATATAGCCAGAAGGATTCAGGCTGGACTGGGTTCTAGAAAGGTACCTGAGAAGCCGACCACCATTGTCGGTTTAGCTGCTCATTCTCCGGTCCGAAGATGGGATTGGACTTGGGAAAGAGGAATGGCGGGAAGAGGTGGCTTCGGGTCTTGGCGTGCCGAAGTGGGTTGCAAAGACGATTGTACCATTGAAAACCACTTTGGGATGGGGAGATTTGGCGAATCGTGGTGAGAGAATAGACTCCCAGAGGAGGAATTCACAGGTGAATGGACGTGAGAAACAGATGCGGTGTGGGAATCAGTGGAAATCAATTGTACCTTAGGCGAGAATGGAGCAAGCTAGGGCAGTACGATTCATGGTTGGTGGCGTGTGCCAACAGATGCGGTGGCGTGTGTGAGGAACGACGAAGACCAGGAAACTTGGAAAAGCTCAGCGGTATGGCGTAAGGATGGGCATGGCCGCCTGCCGGGACTGAGGGAAAGGTAAGGCAGCATTGGGTCAGGCAACGCCTCGCATAGCTCTTTCACTCATCGCCGCAAAACGACGAATAATGAAACAGTAAAAGAGAAGTTGGGCCAATAAAGTGTACCCAGCTTTCATCCAGCTTTCATATTCTACTAGAATCAATACCCACGGCTACCCCGCGGGGATCTAAGTTGCTACAATATCATCTTTGCAACAAAATTATTGTTATAGCCAGTAGTGAGGCAATTCTGGATTGACGTGCCTGACAATGGTGTGTGGGTGACTTGCAAGGAAGAAATCATCATACTGTAAATATTACCAAGACAATGCTCAATAATCTGCCACAAATTTGTAAAGCTTGGCCATAAAGCAAAATGCATTACAGTCATAAGTTGTGTACATCAACATTTTATGTAGTCAATTAGTAATGTTATTCCATGCCAAAAGAACACAAAACTGAGAAGTTAAAGGAATTGAAATGACAGAAACAACTAAATGTTCCATAAGCAAAATCATCCGGGAGTGGTGTCCACGACAGACCAACCTTCTTCCACTAAAAGGATACTGCACATCCCTCCCTGTTGCAGCTCCTGATCTAAAAGCTGGCTTCCTTTCCTGACCGGCCATTGCCCACTACCCAAACCCCTCTTTCACTAACAATTATAAAATCACCTTATGTTTTTCTAACAGATTCAGAAATCACAGTGACTTTCACATGGGTAAGTTATTCCTGCGGTTGCTGCTGAGAAGGCTAGGCCAGCACTATGAAACACATGCACTTGAGCTCCTTTCTTTTCCCCTTGAAGCGGCTTAAGACCTCAAATAGACATTAGGCAGAACCTCGATAGAAGTTCACTTCTTTGTTACAAACATCCATCCATCAATGATCTACAAAACCCAGAGGCATAGAAGCCATTCAAAGGAAATGAAATTGAGGGCTTTCCAGTGATTCTAAAGAGCTGAGACATGGATACAGCTCCACCTAGCAAAGCATACACGGTAACTCAAAATGCCTCTAGCTCAATTCTTGCGAGATCATTGAAAGGGAAAAACAGAACATCTAAGTATGAGAACGTTAAACCACATAGAAACTCACCTTTCAATTAAGTGAAGAAAAGTTAAAGAGGAAAGGATTAAATACCCTCACAAAATTCTATCCTTCAGCTATAAAATGATTACTTTAGGTTGAACATACCATGGCAATGAAAAGTCAAAAACAATGAACTAAACAGCCTCACACAATCCCAACTATGTTGGCCAAGACTTGCCTTAGCTTGCATATTTCAGGTGTTATTTCCCACCGAAATCCACATATGATGTGCATATGTGCTCACTTTGTGCTCTAATATCCTCTTTGATTATTTCCTTCAAGACCTGCAAATAAAATTTCAGGTCTAGCATAAACTCTCCCCGATTAGAGAGACCACAAAGAAGCTAACGAATAAAACTCGACAGCAACATCTGCGCAATCAACCATGCTTCCGTTCTTGCTGGCAACACAACTAAAATCCAGCCTCTTTCCTTTGTTATTGTTGCCTCTGGTGACGAGTAGAGAGAATGTTGATTGATTCAAAGGTACACCGATCTTCCTACAACTGAAAAGGCAAGAGAGAACAAAAATGTCATTTATACGACAACAGTATAAAAAAGCATAAGAAAGCAAGAGAATGAGTCACCTATCAGGCGAGGCAAATGGAAATCCACACCAGGATGGTGCAATTCACCAAGGCACGACTAACCAATTAAAGCATATGATCATAGTTACCAACAAAGCTTATATAAGCTGTAGCAATGCTAGTGGAAGCAAATTCGTAAAAAGTTGAACTCAGTCTTACAAGAAGATATAGCAAGTATATATATATAAATACAAATACTTGAGTTTTTAAATTCGGATGTTGCCATACGAACCTTGTAGAAACCGGGAGATGGGAAGTAGAGGAAATCCCCAATTTGGTCATTGAATTTAAGAATGTAAGTGAAGTTCTTCCCAGATAAGACTGGACAGTTGGACTCTATCTTCCCATGAGTTCCTCCTGCGCTGATTACTGTTCCAAATAGAAGCAGAGGACTTTGTAAGATTACTAAATTGCAGGACGTGGGATTCAAATAATAGGAATAAGAAAACTTAATTATATATATATATATATATATATATATATATATATATGCATGCCAGGCCAAGCAACATGATAGGTATCATAATGAGATGAATTGTTAATCTAGAGAAAGACTACAAACAATAATTTCAAACCAATAAGCTCATCTGAATTAGCTCAAAGGTATTCGTCTTCTACCATTCTTCTTCGTCGATCTCTCTCAGTCTGTATGTCTTCAAAGCCGGCGTATTTAAATGTGAAGACCAAAGACCCTGGAATTATTAGTATACATCAAAACCCAAAAGCTTCAAGCAGGCAAGTAAAGCTACTATCCGCCCCTTCTATCTTAATCGACCATGTACTGCTCTGTCTTTCTTTTTAAATCTAGTTTAAGACAATACTATTTCACCACGACGGTGGCGGCCGCTTCTATCTATTTCATCCGGCGGTTGAATATCATCTATTTATACTGTGTGCAGCTATACCAACCAACGACGTAGACCTGAAACCCTCTTGAATTAAAGAAAGAATATAGATTATTACCCGAAAGTGGAGAAGTCGCCCAATTCAATCCATTGCCGACCCCTTTGCATTTCTATTCCGATTCTCTGTCTTTACATCTCCAGCCCTAGCTCCATGAACAAGCTCCAGGTATTGGCGAACGGGAAAATTGAGTGGCGTAGCCAGAAACAAAGGAATCGTATAGGAGGTGGGATGAATTTGAAAGAGTCTATACCAGAGGAGAGAATTCTTCTCTTAATCCATGGGAATGAGGTGGGGCATCTACAAATCATAGACTGTGGCATGTTTGAGCAGCTGTAAAGAGGTCTCATCGGTGGTGGCGTGCTTAAGCAACTATGAAGATATTGAAACTTGGAAAAGCATACCGACGTGATGAGAGGATGAAAACGACTGAATCGGTGGTTTGTGATTGTGGATTATAGGGTGTGGCCGTGAAGGGATGGTGGCGTGATCAGCAGAGACAAGGAAGGTGTTTTGGGGGAGGGCTGGGCAACGATTTCGTTGAAGCTGCGTGGTTAACGGACAGAATGACTGAAATGGTGACCTGTGCCTACAGAGTTTGGGGTACGGCTGGCTAGGGTAGGTGTACGGCATGCATGATTGGCTGAAGCGAGACAGGGAAGGCGTCGCCGGTTCGAGAAACGGCAATAACTTCGTCTTGCTGCTAGCAAGTTTAGCACTCGTTTAGTCGTTTTCCAACAAACGACAAAATATGAAACAGTAGCATAAACGTAATCCAATAAAGCATACTCACCTTTTATATTTTAAAGAATTAAAGAATATAATAATCCCAAACGAGCATGAAGGAATTCACCACAGGCCAAAACATGCACTTTGACGAACCTGTCTCCAAGCCCGCAACGGTTGACTCCGTTTAATAAAAGATACGGAACTGGGCTGAGCAATCGACCAGCTAGAGCATCAAGCGGACGACCTGGGCGGAACCGAATGGTGAGAAGCGGACAAAATTTAGGATAAACTCTCGACAGCGGCAGAGACACCTTTGCTTCTTCATCTGACTTGATGACGTTCCTCAAGACAGAAAAACCAGCTGCAGAGATGTAGACAAAAACGAATCAAACTGCCGACGATGCTGGACTGGGGATAGAGACTCGCCGTGACAACGATTACGATGAGATTGAAGACGACGGCCATCGCTGCCGACCTAACCTCCGGTGACCAGTGACTGAAATCGGTAGAGACTTGATGACCTTCAAAAGGCGATGCCGCCCCTAGGGCCTCGAAGAAAGACGATACACGGCGAACCCAGCGGCAGATCTAGAGGTCTCGTTCTCGACGGCGGGAAGGACGGAGCAGAGGCGGCAACGATACAGATCCGGAGTGGACATCGGCTCTTCTTTCGACGACGATCGTGACTATTAATCGTGGGACGCCGGGATGATGTTGGAGGTGCCGGCTGACACCGGCAGTGGCTACTGTGAAAGTAGCGTGAGAGATTGATGGAAATGGGTACCGTTCTTTCTTACCAGATAGATAGCAAGTCCATTCGTTCTCTCCTCGGTAAATAGAGAAGAGCATCATAGTTCGCCGCCAAAAACCATGCAGTCGGAGGACGTTGGAGCAGAGGAGAAAGCGATCCCCTCCAACTCATATGTACCTAGGTCAGGCAACCCGATCCTTTCCTTGGTGAAAGGGTTGAAGAAGAAGATTTCCCCACCAAAACTGCCTTGGGATACAAGCAACCACAGCGAACCACGGCTCCTGTGCCGATTGTGTTAGGAATCGAACAGGAAAAATTAGGGTTACCGAATCTGGCTGAGTCGCGGACTAGGTCGCTCTCTTTAAGACGTTCGCGGCACTGCCTTCGTTGCGCACGGCAGACTATCAGCCGGTCGCCTCCAGGATAAAACAGCCACTCATTAAATTTGCTCAGCGGTTTTGTGCGGAAACCGGAGCTCTCTGAATTTCACTCTCTCTCGTGTTTCTGCTCTCTGAGGTGTGTTTAGAGGGTCTAGGGGTCTGCTATTTATAGGAGCAGAAAACCTAGAATATTCCCTCTTTCTTTGGGAATAAGCCACATTTTAATTAGGAAGATAATTACTTCCATAATTAAAATATATTATATTATATTAAGATAATTAATCCTAATTATCTCCATAATATTCTTTTTATTAATTATCCTTCCTATTTTTCGTATCTAGAAAGAATACGGGATAATTAATTCAATATAGCTTTCAAAGCTATTCATTCCCAACAATCCCCCACTTGAATAGTTTTGAAACTATCTTTGAGCATCAACAGATCCATAAGATCGGGCATAAGCTAAGGTATCGCGAAGATTTGAACCTTAGCGTAGTGGTTACACTTCTGATTTCATAAGGGTGACTCGTAGTCTTGAACCCTATCTCAGACAATGTAGCACACCGGATCTTTTCATTGAGTGATATTCTCTCATAGGCCGTGCGTTTATGGCCATGCACGTTATCCCGGTTTAGTGAACGCTCTAGCAACTTTGTGCCTCCAAAGTTCCATAGGGAGCGGCCTCACTCCCACATTCACATAGGTGAGTCTATCAGAAGTATCCCCAAAGTAAAGTACTTCACTCCACATAGAGTATAGATCTCATTAAGAGTTTAACTCAACCTCCAAGGCTTTGGGATTCATGCTTCACTATGCATGAACTTTACTCAATATTACTCATGACTTGTTATTACCCATTGAACCCGTTTCTTGGGATCTCCAGTCTATCGGGTCGGGTTACCATCACTTGTAATCCGTGGTTCGGTAGGCATAAGTCTCATACCCTTCGTGGTATTTTGGACTTTCTCTCTAGATAATCCTTTCGTCAAAGGATCAACTAGATTCTGTTAGGATCTTACATGATCCACCCTCACTGCTCCTATCGTTAGGAGTTCTCTTACAGTACTGTGCTTACGACGAATTTGTCGTCTCTTTTCGTTCTAGAACCGGTTCCCTTCTTTAGTAATAGTTGCGGTGCTATCACAATGAATCATCTACCGGAGGGATCGGTCTTTCCCATAAGGGAATCACTAGTAATGACCCTCTCAATCAACTTTCCTCTTTACTAGCCATTGCTAGTTCTATCATTTCTGATTTCTTAGTTGATTGAGCCAGAATCGTTTACTTTTTAGACTTCCAAGACATAGCTTCTCTATCGATGTTTAAAACACATCCTCTTGTTGTCTTGGAGTCCTCTATAGGGTATTCTAATCCGCATCACTATACCCTAGCAATACAGCAAAACCTTTGATAACAAATACCAAGGTTTTTTCTGTTCTTTTAAGGTGTCTCATGACCCCTTTCAATAGCATTTTAATGCTTCATACTAGGACAATCAGTAAGCCTGCCAAGTACCCCCATTAAATCGGGTCTCATGTTTATCAGTTGCCTCTCGCAGACTTTAAATGCTAGTATATTCTAACTTTCTTACACCGTCTTAGGTGTTCTTTAAATATTTATACTAGCATCATCAAACATGTATGCAGGTGTACATCTTGTATTTTCCTAGTTATTAGGATCTCTAAGCATAACATTTGTTTCAAATAGATCCTTCACATTCAAAATTCTCAACCATCATGGTTTTTCAATATTGACATCACGAGTCTTTGTACCAAAGATCGACGTGTCATTCATAAAGCAAGTGTCATTCTCAAATTTGTACTAAATGCACTTGTCATTTTCACTTTTAAAACCATGAGAGAGAACCAGTTTATTCATGCCATCGTTTTAGAGTCTATTTCAAATCTTACAATGATTTGTCTAACTATAGACTCCCTAAGCATGTTCAGCAATAACAACCCTATAGGTTGTCTCATGTAGATTTTCCTATCTAAATCACCATTCTCATAAACATGTTTAACAATCCATCTGACGCACAATCACTAGCAATCAGAACATACACGGATGTTATTCTACATATGGTGAATAGATAACAAGAAAATTTACAATTTTTCCTTTTCGCTTAAAGCCTTAACTATTAGGCGATCCTTATACTCATAAACTAAACCAATAGGTTTCACTTTTCTTTTAAGAATCCATTTATTACCCATGACTTCATTGCCAAGAGGTAATTCTCAAAGATGCCAAATCTTGTTCGATTCTATCGATATATTACCCAAGGCTTTTCAACCAAGAGGTAACTCTACAAGATTTTAAGTCTTATTAGACTCCAATAATTCCATTTCGTTAATAATGGATTCTCCCACAATTCTGCATCTTTATGGAAGTTCGAACTTCTAGCAGACTTGTAGGATCTTTCTTAGGGTGTAAATAACAAATTCATAACCAAAATCCTTTCGTGATTTATGGTTCATTTGTTTCTTTTGAGTTTAAACTCAGATTTATTACCCCCACTAGTTCCATTATTTCTAATAGTAGGCACTAGGCAGGACACTACCCCCACTATTTCTTGATTTAAAATGGAAGTTTCTTGGCATTAATGGATTTCAAAACAACATGAGTATTTCGTTTCATAGGAACTATGTGTTTTTATTGTTAACAACATAAAACACACTCATATGCTCTTCTAGTTATCATGCTACACTGATTTTCTAACGCTACCACATGCATGCCACATATCGAATAATCAATGCAATCATAATGCAACTAGGCATTTCAAACTATTTCGAATAACTAGTTAGACAATCAGAGCACTCTAAAGAGCAATAAATCATTTATTGTCTTTTCCATCAAGTTTACCCATATCAAAATAAATCAGATCTATCGATTCTGATTCTCTAACCACATATTTATGGGTCATTTAGCTTGAATATACAAAATTCATATTTTTCTCAAGCATCCAATAATAATATGGGAATGCAATATAAGATATTCTAATTCTTCACAAAGACACACTTGGAAGAATTTATCTTATCTACTTAACCATTCCTTATGTCTAGGAAAGTCAATGACTTTCTAGAGGCAGGGTTCTCATCCACTTTTCTAGAACCATCAACAATAGTGGTGAGGGTCTTGCCCAACAACACTTTCTCCTTCAATACGCGTCAATGTATGATTGAGCTTAGCTCATTTATCACACACATATCTTGAAGCGGTCCTATCCAACAACCATTCTTCAGAGTTACCATTAAGGCTAACCTCTGTCATCACCTAAGCGATTATTATTGTCAAATCCTCTTCTTTAATCAAGTTATCACAATACTAGGTTAAACTTGCTCTAACACTTTCGTGTCATATGACCTAGTTCTTCTCAAATTTAATTGAGAAACATAGCGCCATTCTTAGAGAATTGTGTGACAATCTTATGGTTACCACGATAGGTACCATTCTAATTGGTGTGGATCTGGTTCAGCTTGCTGCTCTTATTCTTGAAACTTTAATGTTTCACAGCAACCTAAGTGGTTCGTGTAGTACTGATAATAGTACTTCTTATAATATCGTCACTATGGGCAATTAACCCTTTCTATTCCCATATATTCTTCACATATATGCATGCATTTGAACAAAATCATTATACTCCACAACATGTATTCAATTTCTAATCATCGAGGTAATACACCTCAATGTCGACATATACATGCATTAATTCTATTTTTACTTTCTCGCATTCATATGGTTCTCAATACCATGCATAGAACTCAAGTGAAATAGATTCCATCTTATCATTCATCATAATGATTCATAAAAAGGTTTTGATTCTGACCTCTTTTCAATGCATTCTCTATTTCTCAATTTCCAAGCAATTCTTCTTCCATAGCTGCCAAAAACCAAAGCAACGGAACGAGCAGGTTCCCGCCTTTTAGAAGAGCCTCACACCCACAACCTGGGTCCACCATCCCGACTCCACAGTTACCGAGACGGGTATCTTCCATACCTACCTTCCTCCTCGTTATCTCGTCCAAGAAAAAACGGAAGATCAATTAATATTGTTGTTTTACAACATAACAATAAAATAAATAGAGAAACCATGAAACCAAGGCAGCTCGTGGGCCCAAAATAAGAAGATCAATTCTTCTTTCATGCCTCGCTAGCACTCTAGGTTTTTGTGGGCAGGAAAACCTACTCTATATCCTTCTCACTTGGTGGTCAATTAAGAAGCAATATGCGAGGAATTTTTTTTTCCTTTTTTTTCTTCTCCTTTTTGTTAATAAAGGCCCAATTAATTATGAGCTCGGCGGGCCGGATGAAGGACTCCATTAGCTTCCCTGTTCTTATTCCCGAAGCCGCACACCGCAACAAACATAAGCAGTAGTGCAATTATTTCCTGAATAATTTAATGGTAACAATCCTTTTCTTCTCGGTCGTAATTCGCTCAAGACCGGAAAGAAACTGCAACCCTGAAGCTTCCCTTAGGAGTTAGGATTGTGGACAAATCAAATAATAATATAATTAATTTGGACAATTGGATAAGGGCACAAAATCCCCAGCGGAATTATATGGAGATTAGAGATAGGCACAAAATTACTCCCTTCTTTTCTCTCCTCCAATCACAAACGCAACACGCCACTTGTCCAGGATAACTCGTGTCCATGAGTCCAACAAACTCATCACGTGCTGCTTCTTGCACTGTGGACTTAGGAAGGAAAATAAATTTAGGCTTACAATTCATTTGCATGGACACCAATTAGTTAGCTCATAAGCAAAACCCTAGAAGAGAGATAGCGAAATCCCCTCTCTTCCTGAACACGAGATAGAGAGATTGAGAAGGTGCAATTAATCCAAGCTTCCATAACTCAAACGGAAAGATTAGGTTAAACTGAATCAAGAGCGGACAATTAATTAACAAAAGGAATTCATAATAATCCACTTAGCTCCCAAAAGCAGTCGTTCCATCGAAAGGGAAAACGGAACAGTAGATCCGATGAGTAGAGCGACCATGAACGCCATTATCGGCCGAGATCAAATCGACATCCTGTTCGGTACACATGGCAGCAACACAACGTCTTAAAATTGTTAGGAATCGAACAGGAAAAATTAGGGTTACCGAATCTGGCTGAGTCGCGGACTAGGTCGCTCTCTTTAAGACGTTCGCGGCACTGCCTTCGTTGCGCACGGCAGACTATCAGCCGGTCGCCTCCAGGATAAAACAGCCACTCATTAAATTTGCTCAGCGGTTTTGTGCGGAAACCGGAGCTCTCTGAATTTCACTCTCTCTCGTGTTTCTGCTCTCTGAGGTGTGTTTAGAGGGTCTAGGGGTCTGCTATTTATAGGAGCAGAAAACCTAGAATATTCCCTCTTTCTTTGGGAATAAGCCACATTTTAATTAGGAAGATAATTACTTCCATAATTAAAATATATTATATTATATTAAGATAATTAATCCTAATTATCTCCATAATATTCTTTTTATTAATTATCCTTCCTATTTTTCGTATCTAGAAAGAATACGGGATAATTAATTCAATATAGCTTTCAAAGCTATTCATTCCCAACAGATTGAACCTGGTGGTAAAGGCAGGGTGTTGGCAGAGTTGGTTATTGGGTCGAAGAAATTGACTTGCTCGCTACTGTTGTTTCCTATGTGTACAAGGATTGGAAGTCGATGAATTTCTAGCACCTTCTCCAATCGATGCTCATTATAAAAGGTAGTTGGGCTGGAGAGCGACGATTGCCATGTTTTGCAGGCACGACCGAAGTTACAACGATCGACTCCAAATAGACGAGACTGTATGTCGCAGAGAAGATCAATTGGGGTGTCGTACCAACAACCATCTTCACCAACTCCGCCAGTTCCTGATGATGATAGCATAATCTGCTTGCTGTCAGCACTCTCTGCTTGATTTGGTAATTGGGGATCAGCTGCTGAAAACCAATTAGTGCCAAGTGGTAGCTGCACCCATTGTGAATCATAGTAATCTGATTCGACGTTGGGGCAAGGCAATGACACACTTATACTTCTCTCATGAACATCATAGCATAGGCATAAAGACACTCATAACCCATTTCAGAATAGTAAATAGTATTCCCGCAAACAAGTCCCGAGTCCAGAACTTCTGTGGGAATCTTATACATGAATCCATGCCCCCAATCGGCTAAGAAGATTGCGCAATCTTTGGGCAAAGCTCCATCTTTTCGCATACCTGTTCCTTCAAACTCATCTTGTATAACTCCATCTCTTTGCAACCAATGTCCTTTATTCGAGCTGGTCCATTTCCGGGCAAGTGGTCCCCAGAGTATACCTCGACAATCATAACCTCGCTATCTGAGCAAGGAACCAAGTGTGAGGCTTCATATGCGCATAACCTAATGCAGTAATTAGGGATGGCAATTTTACCCATACCCATGGGTATTTTACTATCCAACCCAATTGGGTTGGGTATGAAATCCAAATATATGGATATGGGTAAAGTTTAATGGGTTTGTACCCATACCCATTTACTTTGGGTTGGATTTGGGTTTGCACCCATGCCCAAATACAAATTACAGTTTGGTACCTAAGCTTAATAGATATGCATATTTAGTACCTAAATTTAATTTTTTTTGCATATAAGTCCTCAAAATATCGATGGAAAATTACGTTTTGGTACCTAAAGTTTTTTGGTCTTACATTTTGGTACCTAAACTTTTCAAGTTTTACAAATAGGTCCAATTTTTGCATGTGTAGTTAAAACACTCTCAAGTAAATGGATATCCATATCCAACCCATACCCATTTAGATAATATCCATATCTAACCCAAACCCATACACACATCACCCAAACCCTACCCATAATAAATGGGTCTACTTGGGTTTGGGCAAAATTACCCATGGGTGGGTAAATTGCCATCCCTAGCAGTAATGATCTAGACCAGGGTCTGGTTGTCTGACGTTCGAATCAAGTAATGTCACTTGGTAGCCATTAATGTCTCGATTGAACCGAAACTGCACTAGCCTCTGACAGCAATATGTAAGAGCATAGATCTCGCCATTGAGAGTGGTGTGCCCACGAAAGTAGAGGCCAGAATTTTCATGATGGGGATACCGATCGCGAAAAATACATTGTGGTACTTCTTGTCTCGTCCAACCCTCATCACCGGGCTTGCAGTATAGAAGTCTCATCTCTTTGGTGTCAAGGATGAACAAAACTACACAGCTAGGATCACGTGGAGGTGAAGAGAGAGTGCAGTAGCCAAACAGCAAGTCTTTCTCGGGCCAGTTGGGCAACTGGATCTTCTCCATTGTTGCAGGGTTTAGCTGCAAGCAATCATTTCCGTAAGGGTGCAAGAGAACTATCACTTATGGCTCTTATCTCGGTGATGTTTTCGACATGGTAGCAGCGTTCCGACAAGCTGTAAAAGGTTAGTGACCTCATGTTTTTCTTACCATGGGAGTAAACCAGCGATGGTTCGGGTCGCAGAGCAATCCTAATTTGTGGTATTAGGAGGTAGAATAGATTGCAGAGATGAGAGCAGTTTTGATACGAAGTCACCACGGCTTTCTAACTTCTTATATCCTTTGTTGGGCGCAGTGAGATTCCTTGTTCAAGAAGGAAACTGGGTTTCTGTTGGTTAAATTTTCCGACCTCGGTAAGGAGAAGGTAGTTCGTCAAGGGAAGGCTAAATTCTATTGTAATCCTTGTTTCAGTAGGAATCTTTTCACGATTAAAAATAAACAGAAAAATTACAGAACGGAAACTTGAAAAGATTTATTGAATAAGAGGATGAGAACATTTTCTGTGGGAGTTGAGATTCAGATCTTTCAACCAGAAGCTCGTTAACTTGATTCACTTCAACACATTCTCATGCAAAATTGGTTACAAACCAGCAAGAGGGTCGGAATCGAAAGAACACATTTCTATTAACAAACTAATCTCCTCTCATGTGTGGCAAAGCTTTGGAGAAACCAGGTAGTATTCAAAGAGATATATTTACAAGGGTGCCAGACAAAAACTCTTCACAGAGAATTTATCTCTTCTTGTCCATCAAAACTTTGGGGAAGAAGAACATTTATCATCAGTAGTAGAAGTTTGAGACTTTACTTCCCTGGAGATGACGCGAATCTAGTCTTTTCCCTTTGCCTGTTCAGTGCTCGATCCTTCGGTGATGAGGAAGTTTTGGCTGCAATCCCTGCCTGTCTCATCATCTCTGCAAAAAACAGAGGGAAGCATTAGTGAGCTGAATGTAAAACCAATATTTCATATTCAGTTCTGTCACCCGAAATTTGGTTCCCCCAACCCAATGAAATTTAGTTTTGGTTTAACTGTCCCCCATTTTCAACCCTACATTAATGAATATGAAGTTAGCAACCAGTTATAGTAAGCAAAAGGAAGACAGTCCCTCATACCTCTCTTCCTCTCGAGCTCCTGAACAAGCTCTTCCTTCCATTTCCTCTGTCTCTCAGAAACCTCAACGCTGAAGAAAAGGTAGCATAAACTCAAATTTCAGATTTCCCAACAAAAGACAGATACTAATCAACACGTGCGGGTATCAAGAAACTACATCTTGCAGATACTAAACATGCAACTTATCATTCAATACTAACCATGGGCTACTAGATTCTGGCTGAGTATCAACGAATACTACATTTTGTCCATCAGCATGTGCAGAAGAAATGGCTCTTGAAGTTGCATCATTTGCATCAACGACATTTGATGCACTCCGACCAGTGCTCCCAGGGGTTTCGGTATCAGTTACAGGGGAGGAGGCCCCCAGCGGAACTCCTCTACTAGGTGACTTACTTTTAGGTGGCAACTTCAAGTAATTTGGAGAAGTTTCATTGCACAAGCCCTGAGGAAAACTTGAGGAGCTAGTTGCAATCATGCTGTTGTAGAATTCTTCAAAAAGAGGCGTTTGCAGTTTCTTCAGCTCTAAAGCCTGCACGTATCATCATATCAAATTAAAACTTACATTCAAGTCATTCTCGAAAACCAACATCAATATGAAGTTTAAGGAATGTTTATCCACTTAAGTTGGTACCTTTTCATCTAGAAAAGCTTTGATTTTCGATTCAGTGAGTTCATCATCATCCTCAGATAATGATATTTCACATGACAAGGTTCTGTTGCACTGAGCTGGTTCTTCAGTGCACATTCGAACTCCTTCATCTGGTTCGAGACACTCATCGAATTTTCCCATTAAATCTCCAACGAACTCATGCTTGACATTCTGATCCTGAACCAATCACAATTAACAGTTAACCAATAGAATGTACGAGGTTTATGAAGAATGAATCAAGAAAACCTTACATTGTCAAATTCACCAGAAGTCATCATAGGATTTTGATTTGATATACTGAAACTACTATCGATCTGACACATATCAGCGTCCTCATCATTTGGTCGCCACAGATGTTGAGTTTCACTTGAGTTTTGAAGATTTACAGAAAAGTTTAGACTCCCCAAGTTACAGAGATCTCCAGAGCCAGATACAGATGGCAATGGTCTATCAAGAGGGGAAAAGAACAAGGATTATGAAAACATAATAGGAGTGAGAAAAACCCCGGTATAAATGATGGAATCAATTTGACTTACCTGATGTCTATTTGGGTGGGTTGTGACTGTGGAGTAAAACTGGTTGCTGTATCAGAAACTCCATGCCCCCCTATAACAAATGGATGCTGCACTAACACGAAAAATATTGGAGTCAACAAACACCATTAACTCAATATTCTCAAAATAACCATTAGAGGAAGCAAAAATCACCTTCAACAACTCAGATGCATCTAGTCTCATATCAGGTTCCCTGCCAACAGTTTAATTAGCAGATGAAAGACGTTAGAGGAGTATTTTGTTTTTTCTTCTAACGTTCTGAGTTCTGACTATCAAGAAAAAGGCCAGTAAAAAAGCAGTAAAATGGTACTTTTGCAAGCACTTGAGCAGAAAATCTTTGGCATCATCTGAGAGATGCTCAGGTATTTCTGGATGTGACTTTGTTGATCCTATGTGAAAGAGGGCGGCAACCTACAGGAAACATGTTAGCAAGATAAAGAAGAAGTACCCCTCAAGAAAAATCATCGTAAAGCAGAATATTAATTTACCTCTTGGTATTGTTGGCTCCAAGGAGGTTTTCCAGTTGCCATCTCAATCACAGTACATCCAACACTCCAAATGTCAGCAGAACTACAGCATCAACCACATATGAGGCTCAGTACAGTAATACTAACCTTACCATTCATTAAGTATAGATGGTGGATTAAAGGATCTAATAACTATTCTTGTCTAGTTCAATTTCAATCTTTCTATTTTTCATTCCATTGAGTTTGTTCCCCATGTAGAATAATCAAAATTATCACTTAAAAGGATCTGATTTCTTGAACATACAAGCTATGCCCTGTCTGACGAATGACTTCAGGCGCCATCCAGTATGGTGTACCCTTCATTGACTTCGCCCCTGAAATTGTGGCCTAAGGAAACGGCATCTCAATCAGAAACAGAAACAGCAGAACTCTCTGTGTGGGAAAATTCTGCAGAATCATGAAGAAGCAAAACACCACTTTCTGAAGATCAAGACTCATACCAGCTCAACTACCTGCTTCGATGCACCAAAATCCGCAAGTTTAATGCATCCTTTATTATCTACAAGGATATTTGCTCCCTAAAAGCACAAACAAAGGACAGCAAACATTATAACTTGTAAGCATAACCTACAAAAGTTGAAGGAGTTTTCTAGCATGCTGGAAAAGTCAGTGAGTTAAACAAGCACCTTAATGTCTCTATGCATGATGCCATTACTGTGCAAGTACTCCAATCCCAGCAACAATTGCTCAGTATATGTTCTGATAACCTGAAAGTGGCATGCTGGCAGTTTAGCAGGAGCCAGTAAAATTTAAGGCAAGGAAGAAGTGAAGAAAACTTACTTACCGCTTCAGGAAAAGGTCCAAATTTTCCTAAAAGTGAGGATATAGATCCACCAGGAACAAATTCAAGCAAAATGTTCAATGATTCCTCCTCCCTAACTGTGCCGAGGTATCTCTGAGGATCATAGAGGTTTAGACAGACGCTAAGTCGAAAACTGTGTTTAGTTAATGAAAGTACATCCAAGTTGAAATGATTTTTCGCTACTAACCACGATGTTGGTATGTGAAAGATTCTTCAGAAGCTTCACTTCTTCCTCAAGATCTTTGACATGAGCCTACATAAAACAATCGATCAACAATCCTAAAACCCGAATAGTGTTTCACTAACAAACTCCTGCCTCACTATTGGTCCTATGAATCCAATAAAAGATGTTACCTGTGCTCTCTCCTTGGAAGCACCATTGGCTGCAATCAGAACCTTGAACAAAATAAAGAAACAAACAGAGTTCAGAATCGAGCTGAAAAAATACAAATATGTAACTTGGGGAAATGACTATTCTCATTCCAAATAACAAGCAACTTAATAATGAATATAACAATGCAGCATAAAACTCCCTTAAAACCCTATGAAGCTGCAATGGAAACTGAAACCCCAAGTAGGAAACATCCACAAATTGCGCTGTTAGTTTCCAGCAAACAATGTAGGAAGTGCAGAATTGCAATCAAATTCACGAAAGATAATATTACCCAAAACCCACATTCTAAGCTTCGGATCAATAACCACCAAGAACCCCCCAGGGGACCCAGAAATTAAAATCCCATCCGAGCCAAACCCATAACTTAAATTGTCCAAATTTACCTGCTTGATAGCCAAAAGCTCTCCGGAATCAAGATTCATGCCCATATAGACCTGACCAAACGCGCCGCACCCGATCAGCTCTCCTTTCCGGTACCGGATCGGAGGAGCCATTGGAAGCGGAGGGGAAGACAAAGGTTTGGCGAAGATTCTAGACTTCCGAATGCATGAATTGATCTTGTCGACCAATGGGCGAGTCCCCGTTAATGGAGGGCTGCCGCCGCTGTTTAGTTCCGCCGTAGTGCTGCTGCTCTCTGTGTCGGGGCGGAAGACGAGCGACCGCCTGACCGATCCGATGAAGTCTTGCATTTGTGGAAAGACTGAACCGCCGATTGATTGATTGATTGGCTTGGCAGAGGAGAAATACAGGATTTTTGGTCGGCGGAAAGGGGAAAAAACAGCGAGTAAGGGGGTGAGGGAGAGAGAGAGAGGGGGAGGAGGGAAAAAAGTTGCAGAAGATTCTCTTTTTGAAATAAAAAGAAAATAGCAACAGTACACCTCTCACCTAATACGACGCCGCCACAGGGCCGCTTGCTTCTCTTCTTTTCCCACTTTCACATTTGACATTTTTGTTTGTCTATTTATCTATCCATATATTACAAAACTAGCTTATTACTCGGCCTGTTGGCCGGATTACTGTATGTTAGCCACTTGTGGAATGGGAGAGAAAGCAAGTGAGAGTGAAGGGAATGGGATTCCACTTGATTAGGACCGACCCACTAATCCAATTCTTCCCGACCCGCCCCAACCTACAGGGTCAGAAAGAGTCAATAAGAAAATACGAACGGGGAGAATTAGTCATATATCTTGACTCTTCAGAAGTGGGTCAAACAGGATCAAGGTTGGGTGGGGGCAATTTTTAGCGCTAAGCAGAGTTCTGGGTTGAATACCTTTACTTAGGCCTAGAAATTGGTGCTGATGCAGACTACAGTTTTTATTATACCATCATCAATCATCATTGAATTAGTCCTGGGCATCCCTCCCCGTTGTCAGTCTGAATTCTAATGATGGCTTCATTCCTTGCACCAGCCATATCAGAGAGTTGCCATCTCGAGCATGATTTGCCTATGTACAAATAATACAATTAGAGTATGAAAATGAATTCAATGAAAAGGAAAAGAGAATTCTATCACATGCCAATAAATACACACATAATAGTTGAAGCTAAGTGAAAGTCATTACTCGCACATCAATTCTCAAAAATTACAGACTAAACATTGGTTAGAATGACACTGAAACTACCAAGAATCATGAACGAAACAACTTGTCAAATTAAATAATCCTTATACTGAAACTACCTTCTAACTTGAAATAAGACATGATCACAGTTCATAGCTCTCTTCTCACTATGAATTGGTTGCAGCTCGTCCTTATCACTGCCTCTCAAGCTCAATTCAAACAGAATAGAGACCGTTATGTAAGATAACCATATTCTTACTGATCATAATTCCTTTCTTCACTTCATTTTTGTCGGAGAAAAGAGTTATCCCCCTCTCCTGCATTTCCCTTTCCCCCTCTCTTCTCCCTCTTCTTCACAAACCGATCCCTAAACCAGCAACAACAACACAAAAATAGCCTTCGCCTCTCCCGTCTCCATCTATTGAATGCGTTGGTGGCAAGACAGGACTGCAGAAGCAAAATTTCCTAAAATCAAACTAATTTTTTTGAAGCAGACTCAACCACGAAAAAAGAGTAAAGCAACAATGCAGTAGAACCCTAAATTTAACTACAATCAAGCACATATCAGCAAGATTTTAGATTTGTCTGAGAGTTAACTACACGGAGAGAACAATTGATGCATAATTGAAATGCTCCAAGCAAGTTGAAGGCAAACCATGACTTTAGAATTTGGTCATTATAATAACCTTCAAGTATTGATGCTTCTAAGAACTATCATGTCCAACCCCCACTTATACAACTACGTAGCCATAGTAATTAGTTGTATAATGAGAAATATTACAAAGAAAACTACATAAACAACCAATGTAAGTAAATATTAAAACTAACAGCTGATAAAACTTAAAATCTCTCTATTGGTATAAATGTATCTATTAGTAACTACTATGCAATCGAGTATATATGATTTTTAGGCACTGAATAAGAAAAGTATAGATGGCTCACAAATGAAGACGTAGCAACTGAAGGTAGCACACAAAAACCAAAAATAGAAAAAGAGATAAGAAAAAAGGCGAGAAAAAGTCAAACAAAGAAAAAGCCCACATAGGAATACCTCGCTAGCTTTAGGGACTCTCTGCCACAACAAACAACCTTCTTAAAAATCTAACACCCTGAGACATCAAACAAACCTCCCACGACACTAATGTATGTCATTCCTATTGTCCAATAGGTTTGCCCAATTTAGACTTCTAAATAAATGGACTTTTCACCATTAAACCAAAACTCACAATCATTAAGAGTTAATGCAAAGACATACATTTCTGAGGCCAATCACAGCATTTAAGCATAATTTTTAGTTGAAAAGAACAACTAAGTATTTAGCTAAATGATATAGTAGAATGGACACAATCTGCTACCTACTAATGATATAAACGTGTACCGGTACCATCGGTGTATCCTGACTTGCCATTTGCAACGGGCACTTTGAAAGACAGCTGCATTTTAGAGAATAAACACCCATAAGGGCGTTACGAAACCAAGCTTAATCCAAAATCTTCATATTCCACTTCGAAGACTCCATTTTCAAAAATAAGAGAGTTTAACATGTCAAATCACTCATTTGAAAAATCTCAAACAACTATTAATCAATGCAATATAAAGGCACGTTCCAAATTATGTACTTGTAGGAATAATCCCAAATAATTATCAATTAATGTCCCAACTACCTAATGTGCAGAATAGCCCTGGAGCTGTGCTGTTGTTTGCGTTGGTCTACCTTCAAACATAACATAGTTGCATCACGAACCAAAGCAATTAAGCAAAAATCTTCATATTCCAAGTAGAATGACTCAATTCAATTTGGCCAATGCTTTATACATATTGTTTACCCCTGGACCTGTTGCACTTGCGCCTTCAGATCTTCGTGAACACAATACAATTGCGCAGAGGAGGCTGTCAACGGAATAAAAATTGTTAATCAAGTGAATCACCATACAACTAAACAAACGCGCTCTTCTTGATTAGGTATCAAAATAGTGGGGATCAGAATCCCTAAGTAAAATCCTAAAATCCTACGATTTTACGATCAAAATCCCGAATTTGACTGCATTGGCGATGGGTGCACGATTAGTGGGCCAAATAACAGTTTGGGCCCGTTTAAATGAAAACATATTTTTACTTTCGTGCTCAACAGACCGACCGCACTGGCATCTTCTAAATTTACCCCTAAAAAATTGCTCTGTACGCATCAAATTTGAAATGGAATCCCTCTTTTCTCATTTCACATTTCACATTTATATGATGTGTAGATTGTGATGAGTGTAGATGTAGACCTGTCATTGTCCTACAAATTCATTAACACGCCAAAAAGTGGTGAAATGAGCCACCCTATTAAACACAATCTTGTATAATGATCATTGGATCCAATCATGCCAGATTATGAAGAAGTTTAAAATGTAGCGGTTATCCCGACTAAAACATTAAAAGAACCAGTCTCATATAGTTTGCACAAAGATATAATTTCTCCATAGTAATTCTGAAAAATAATATTAATTTAAGAAGTCGATAATACTTCTACATGTTTAATATTGCAATTCGATATGCAATATTCGAACAAGTGATATTTGGGCTGCAATTTTAGGGTTATTGTATATTTATAAAATAGATAGAAATTTAAATTAAGTATTAAACTACAACTAAAATAATCAAAGTATTAAAACACCAAATAAGTACTTACGGGAGATTCAGTGGCCAACTAATCGTTAAAAAAGTCATATGATTTTCATAATTTAGGTTCGTGTATGTTTGAATTTAAATAGATACAACAAATATACTTAGTGTGATTGGTTATGATCCTTGCTTGCCTTTAAAGAGACCAATGTTCAAATCCCAATGCATGCCTTTTTTATGAATGAATAAATAAGAAAATAAGCAATTGTGAAGACCAAAATGTCCTTCCTATAATCACTCTCGTTGCAGGAAATTTGAAATGGAGCAACAGTTTTCATCATTCGGTTTTTATTTATTATCTAGATTAGAGCAAATACTAATTATTAATCAGAAAAAATTAATATTATTTTTTATTAATCAAAATTATTGCATTATTAAATTTTTTATAAATACATCGGCACTCTCCTTCCTCAGAAGTCCTATAAACCAATACAACTAGAAGATCCAAATTAAAGATATAATTAGTTAAATTTGTTATAAATACATTGGCACTCTCCTTCCTCAGCAAGCCCTATAAAACAATACAATTAGAACATCCAAATTAAAGGTATCATATAATGTTAGCTAGGGTACGATTCAGTATACATTGTTTGAATGAAACGAGGTTATATTATATATCAGAAAAAAAATTTTATGTATTTTCAAATAAATATATAATTATCTTTTCTCGTAGTATTCTCAAAAATAACTTCTCAAAAGTAATTGATCATTGAGTATTCTAATGACCCCTTTCAATAAACGCTGCATTTAACTATTAATCTAAACTATATATCTAAGTTCACAAAAAAATTAAATTAATTTATCAAGATTTAACACTATTACAGAAATTATCCTATTTCTATCTAATATATATATATATATATAGAAAAATTAACTAAAGTTTAGTTAAATAACGAATCATCATTTAACTAAATTCACAACTAAATAAAAATCAACTCAATGTGCCCAAATTTAACCCTAATACATAAACAATCAACATTTAACTAACTAAATTCACAACTAAATAAAAATCAACTCAATTTGCCCATATTTAACCCTAATACATAAACAATCAACATATAACTAAGTTATATAACCAAATATGAAACTAACAAACACCAAATATTTCATTTGTAGAGACAAATTAGATTAGTCGTCTCGCATATTCGTTGCATATATTCTTTTATCTAGTAGACTAGTTGTTGTGATTCATGCAAATAGTTGATGAAGTGAACTAACATCCAGTCAACCGAAGAGAACTCATTTTCTTGATTACTCGATCTCCCTTATACTTATACTTAAACTTGATATATTACTTAGTTGCCCACATTTTCCATATCTCTCTATAAAAAAGATGTCCAGCTCAAGCAATTCGCCATCTCGTGTTCGTTCACGATCATCGAACCCACCTCCTACTGCTCCCCTTGGTTATTCTTGATGCTTTTTATTATTAATGTAATAGGTTCAATCCCAGTGTTCATAGCTTAATTTGTTTTTTCTGGACAATTCACCCTACTTTGAAACAAGCTACAGGGTTCATGCTGTGTTTCACTTCTTACATCATTTCCCTTACAATTACTCTCCTTTTAGGCATCGCGGCTGCTTCATGCTTATGATGTAGGAGGCTCCTC